GCAAATTATCTTAACTTGCACAATTCGATCGACCTATTCCTAACTACAGTCGACCGAATCCTCTAAGGTGGTCTCTAATTTTATACAAATGACCAACAATTGAGAAGTGGTCGACCTGAAATATTATTAGGTCGACATTAAAGACATAAGTTGTCACTACCAGAATCAATTAGGTCGACCTATCCAGCAGAATAATACCAATTTAACAACAAAAACATGTGTAATACTACCACGAACAATTGATAGGTCGACCAGACACATTGATCGGCCGACCTTTTAAGCACAACATAGTCTTACAAACAAAGTCAAAGTCGACATTCTGGATAAACAAGCAAAACAAACAGAAACGGTCGACCATGATAAGAATTAGGTCGGCCTATTGGGTTTGATCTTCCTTACCTCGCAAGTACAAAAGTCCGAGTGTTGTGCCCTAAATTCAATTTCTCCATGGTCTTCTGCACGTAACAAAACATCAAATTAAATGGTGCAAATTACGAATTAGACAAGATGACGACGATAGCTAAAATAGGTCGACCTCACATTTCACGTGGTCGACCTCTTGAAACACGTACAACAGCAACAGCAAAGGATCTTCTTCTTCACAAAAGCTCGAACCGTACAAAAAACCAAATTTAGAGTTTCAGCGGCGGCGGTGGTGAAGGTGACATATATTCGTATTTATAGATATTTAGGGCGAGATTGGGTCGAATTAAGTGGTATACAAGTTAGGGTTACCTTTCTGGTGTTGGAATCCTTATCCAATACCAATACGGATACGGTGTGCACATGGTCGACCTCGTACTTGTCAGGTCGACTGTTTATACTATTTTTCTAAATAATCCCAACTTTGATAGTGATTAGTTAATGAAACAGAGGTCGACCTTGTCACTTATGATGGCGACCTTTTAATAGCAAAATGGTCAGTCTTTGAGATATTTGGGTCGACCTTTTATATTGTTCGCTTCCCAAAGATGTCGGTCATTTGCTGTAAAAGGCCAACTGCGTCGTTGAGCCTCACAAAACTGAAACAACATATTAGGTCGACCTAATCCTATTCGAGTTCGACCTAAAAGTGCAAGTTACGGTAACTTGCAAGTCACCGTAGCAAAGTCCAAAAACTTAAATTCGGAGAATTTGAAATTTTGGTTCCCTCTATTAGAGCAAATAAGCTATTTTTATGGAGTTAGGGTGTGAAATCTGGAAATTGTAGCATTTTAATTATAATGATGGTTTAAGATTTTACATTTGCATTTACCCACTACACGTACGTGTATATATATTGTCGAAATCAGGGGTGCTCTATTAGTATGATATTGTCCGCTTTGGGCCAAACCCACACGGATTTACTTTTGGGTGTCCTCCCCAAAAGGTCTCGTACTAATTGGGCTAGGTGGACACTGATATACAATGGTTCCTTTCCTTGTATTTCTGATGTGGTACTTGGATTGTCCCACAACAATCCTTCACTCAAGACTAGGATCACGACCTTCGTGTCCTCACCCCGGCGATTATCTTGATCCGCTAGACGCCTTGTATCGATGAGCTTCTCAGTACAAGAACTTTAATAGATGCAGAACTCTCTTTGATCCGCCAAGCCCAAACGTGGATCTCTCCTTCCCAAGGTCATCGAATGAGGGTCCCTCACCAAATTTACGTACACCGCCCACACCGAAATAGACTCTGATACCACTTGTCGAAATCGGGAGTGCTCGATTAGCACGATATTGTCCGCTTTGGGCCAAACCCGCACGGATTTACCTTTGGATGTCCTCCCAAAAATCCTCGTACTAATTGGGTTAGGTGGACACTAATATATAAATGTTTCTTCTCTTATATTTATGATGTTGTACTTGGATTGTCTAATAATATATATATGACCTGTAGGTGGAATTCCACCTTTCGCAGCTAACTACACTTCCGAATTCCGATTCGATGAGATCGTCAGAATCCATAAATAACTCAGTCCAACCACTCTTTGCAAATCCCAATTAATTTGTGGACAAGGTTCAAGTACTATGCTATAAAAAAGATTTGTTAAACTAATTCTTCTTTATAAGTACGTTCTGGGAATGGTGATCTATTTTAATTTGTTTCCTTAATTCTATATAAAATATAAATATTTCATACATTTGCGAATTCTAACGTTAAGTGCATTGTGTTGATGAGTAAGTACTGCAGAAATGATATGTTTAATTAAGTATGCCAAAAGTACATTATAAAAAAAATTATATATGTGTCAAAAGCCACTCCATTTTTAATACATTGAGTTGCTAGAGAAAGTCGAAACGTAGAGTCCACCATGCATAATCTTTAATATCTCCTTATATGTCTGATCAAGTGAATGCTCCATTAACATAAGTCTTTATAGTTAAATCTACAACCACAACTTTGATTACCCAAACTGAATTATCAACCTTTTTATCAACAAAATATATGCTAATGCCAATAATCAGTGGATCTAGGGGTCGTTTGGACGAGAAATTCTAATGGATCAATCTGACACAATTGTCTCGTTTTGTGACAATTGTGCTAGATTGATTCATTTGGTAGTAGAAAATTTAGATGAAGCAATTTGGTTGGGGAAATATGAATTGACTCATTTTGAGCCAATTACAATTGTCTGGGGTGGGGGCAGATAATCTGAATTGACTCGTTTTGTAAAATGAAATAATTGGTCAAATTGTCTCGTTTTATAATTGCTCGAAGATATCAGAAAATCATTATGTTTGAGGACATTCCTATGCGTCCCGCATTCAAGTTGCAACAATAATACATTGTTCGTAGTGACTACTAATATTGTACGGCATAAAGCCGCAAGTCATTACACAAAGCATACATTTACGAGTTTATGAATTAATTTCTAAATATAAGAAATAAATGTTGATATGTAATATGTACTTACTATGTATATATTTTACCAAATCATTGTATAAAATGATGTTACGTAAGTTTTTATGTTATGAATGATGGATTTGTATGTAACACGTATACCAATACCAAGTTATGTAAATTGTTAAATCATTGTAGAAAGTTGGTCTCATTTAACTAGTATGTAAGAACTAAGAAGTAAGAAATGTTTTGTGAGCTTTATAGGATGATATGTATAGACGGTTCAAGTGTATGTATTAGGTAGGTGTGTTGACCATGGTAAATTTTATGTGAATGCGAAATTAGTACTAGATATTGTTTAATGATTTTCTGGTATCTGAATATATAAGAAAGGTGAAACCAGATTTGATGAAGAGATCGGAAGAATATAGGCGAACGGCTGAATCTGATCTATAGGTGTAAATCGATAGCGTTACAGTGGGTTTGGGTGAGGTTCGTTGCGTTATAGGTTAGTCGGGTTACGGGTTTAAATTTTAGCGGCGGATCCAGAACACAGTAGAGCAGTACTGATCGCATTTGAATAGAATATTAGATATCGTAAACAAAAATATATAATAACTATATAGTTGTCATCCATTACAATGTCAATTGAACTAGAAGGTCTTTAAATTAGGCAAATCCATCAATAATAGAATCTCCATCCATACCTATAGCATATATCCTCTCTTTCAAAGAAAATAACTAAGCAATTAATGAGAAATTCATCGCTCATTTTGTTGCGCAATTTAGTTTTCACATGTTTCATTGCTGAAAATGTTCTCTCCATGGTAGACGTTGAAACAAGTAAGGTCAACACTAGACAAATCAACTAACGAAACAATTTTTATTGTGTGTCCATCTCTGTTTTCGCTAGCTTCTTTAGTAATATTGCAAGGGAAGAAACTTCATATTCCTGACTAGGAATCACATGTGAAGCATAATATCATAGCTCATTCTTCAAAGAATGCATCTCATAGCATTCAAAGTTTCTAGTGTAAACTCTTTAGCAAATCTGTAAATATTTTCTTCATCAAAAGACCGGAAAGAACTGTTAAACTGGCGGAAGATGACTCAGAAAGTTTGTAAATATTTTCTTAATCAAAAGACTAGAAAGAAAACCAACTCCCGACAGACTGGTAGAGGAATCCATTTTTGGTTCGTTCTTCTCCTCGTTCTTGTTTTTGTTTTTTGGGGATTGGAGAAGATTTTTTGAGTTTTGACAAAGAAGAAGAGTGAGTTTTAGTTTAGAGGTTTTTATTTATTTAAAAGAAACATTATACTTAGTCGTTTACGATTTGAGACTTTTAGGTTTTTTTTTCAAATAAAAATCATTTGAACTAGAATTTCTATATTAAATTTAGAGTAGTGCTTTGAATATGTTCATCTGGACCATTTTTCTAGTTACACAAAATTTTATTATCAAATAACGCTCGACCTACTTTTAAATAACACTGGGAAAATTACCTAAAATCGAAAAATATTTATAAGCACGATACTAGCTCTGTATCCGGAGGAGGGCTGGATCGTGGCCCGGGGTAGCCCACCCCCTAGATCCGCCACTGATCATGTTGCGGGTCAATAGGATTACGAGATAGGTTAGTTACGGGTCAGCGACTTTTAGTCAACTCGAATTGCAGTTGGGTTAATCAGACCAGGTTCTGTTTTCACACCTATAAGTGAGTCCCATTTATTTTTTTTTTCAAATTCCATTGGTTCTTTCAGCTTTCATTGATTATTTGGGAAAATTTTAATCAGTGGTTGAAAATGATGAGAGTGGGTTGCTAGTTTTAAGAGTGGATAGTTATCTCTCGTAACCTAAAATTAATATGAAATCCAAGTTAGCCTAGGAGATTACCAACTTGGGAATAAAGTTTGTGATAATAGTCGCGGTATATATATATATATATTGATCATCTATCACTAGAAAAGAAGACTGAGAGATAAAAAGTTTCACGCCTCCACTCCACTACATATACTTTTGGCTATCTCTCCCTCGCTCGTTCGTATACTCTAATAATATGCAAGTAAGACAAACCCTGTGGGTGGAGTGATAGTGATTGCTTTTTCAGCCTTATAAGTAGAGTAGCTTGAAGTTGCAAATCAAAGGGAGCTCCATCCATCGCTAGCTTTCTCGCAGGCAGGCCCAGCAGCAGAAATAACAGAGACGACAATAAGGAAGAGATTGGCGGCCGTTGTCATTGTTACGATTTAATTTAGGTACGCGTTAATTACTTGAGTTTCCAGCATTTGGTTTCTTAAACCCTACGTTTTCTCTTTTTCTTTTCTTCCCTTCTTGCCTTTCGCTGAACTCTTTGCCTTGCTCTACCTAATTACTTGTGCTTGCGCATGCATGTGTTTGCTTACGTGTCCCAATTAAGCTGCTGGAGATTATTAACATTACATTGCTTAGGTTATTAATTCTCCGAGTTGTGTTTGTTTATTTATTTAATTATATTTATTAAGAAAGTAAGTGTGGTCTGTGGAAGTGAGAGTGTGAGTAGTGCGTGTTTTACCCGTGTATGTATATGGACAAAGAGGCGTGCCATATTTTGGGTTGTGATCATGGATGGATCGCCTGTAAGCTAAACTTACGTATGAGAGTGTATTTCTGAGGCAGGCTCGGGCGTTCGCGTGTCAGATCTCGGTAATAACTATTTTCATCTTATAATTCTCTCCCACAGAAGTAAGATTTGTCAATTTCGGTTTATCTATCCAAATTACGATTGTTTCAATGATTTCTTAATTCGAAAGATCCTATTATGTTAGACATAAAGTTAATCATTCAATTCAATGTTAGACATGTTTCTTACTTCTTTCGTAACTGGAAAATGAAATGCCCACTAATTTTACTAGTTAATAAAACAATTCATTTTATTCACTAACATCTCCAAAATTAACCTACCAATGCAAATTTGTAAGTTTGCGAGTTTTATTTATATAACTCGAGATTGAGGACGTAACAATGCTATATGAAATCGAAATCACTAAATTGACTTCTAACTTGGGTCCGGAAAATATGAAAATTGGTTTATTGTAATTTAAAAAATTTAAAGAAAAAAAATATGAAAGTTAAATGACCAAATTCACTTTTTAGTCAGGGTAAAATTGAAAATGGAAAAGATAAATACTAGTTACTATATATATACTGGACACTGAAAACTTTCATAAAATTATTTTTATTTCATATGTAATTTTCCAAAATTTTCAAGGATATCTAAGAAATTTCGAGGTAACTGTAGCGCCATATCCTTGCATGTCATGTCACAACTTAAATAACCTTTCAATTCTGAATTGTTGGCTGAAAAAAAAAAAAAAAGAATCGTCTAGCAACAAACAAGTTAAAGCAACATACTGTGTGTAACGATAATTCGATATTGCCACAATGCTTAAAGTAAAAGTGAAAGTTAGGTCATTGTGTTTTGTTTTTTTTTTTTTTTATCGAAAGATATTGCATCTTTCTATTGTTATTTTGTCTATTCATGTTGCCTAGTGGTCAACCTGTAAATTGAGATTATACTATTTGTGCTATTATATCATTTTGTTCTTTTTCCTCAAAGGTATTGCTAATTTTTATGGTTATTTTATATACTACTCATGGTGTCTAGTAGTCCACGTAGAAGATTTGGTGAAATTCCATATTTACAGAACTTACAAAATCAATAAACTTCAGTTGTCTATTTGCTCATGATTGGATGGCCTAAATTTAATATAGTGAACAGGAGATGGATAGTGGATATTTGTTGATATTATAAAGTATTATTAGTAGATAAATGTAATTATTGTAGATTTCCTGGGTTAATCGCGATGGATAGTAGATAACCACTAACCACGAAAGTTATTATTTTATTACCACATCCAACCCACTACCCATAATAGATGTGGGATGGTGCGGTTTGCGGGTTACTCAAAACCCACAACCCAAACTTCCACCCATAGTTTTGAGTAGTCATTACTAAATTTTTATCTTAATTTTTCTTTATTAAGTCATATCTTTTTAACTCAAAATTAAAAAACAAACAGAAAAAATTCATTAATTATGATCTTATCACTATGGTAAAACTTCATACTCTTATCACTTTCATACCACGATTTTCTTTTTGTCATATCATGATCTTACCACTCGGTAATACATCACGTGCAATCTTATATTATCACTATAAATACAACGATCTTACCATTGTCATAACATGGTCACCTTGATTTTCCTTAATTGGGCTATGTCTCTTTCATTTTAGAAGTTTACAAACATGCTCAATCTTTTTTGCATAGTAAAAATTATCTTAAACAAATTGAAAACTCCATACCCAACTCATATCCAATTAGAAAATGGAAGCACCACCCATATTATATCCAAGCATAACAAACAAATATTCAAACTCACCTAATTGGCAAAATTACTAATTCCTTACGCAGTCCAATTCTGAGAAACTGCCATGTTTGTTTAAACTGTGTACAAATTAAAAATTAAGTGCCAAGAGACAATCTCAGGTAGACCGTTTTTATGAGGTGTATGCCTCCAATAGGTAAAAAACAAAGAGCTACTCCTTACTCAAGTTTCCAATCTTGCAAAAGCAAAATTTAATTGATTCATTCTTCTTTTCCTTTCTAGTTTTTAGAATTTTTGAACTGTTTATTCAATTATCAAAACTTGCTCACTCGCACAATTAGGAGTTTCCAATCTTGCCCAAGCAAAGACTATTCAATTGATTCATTCTTCTTTTCCTTTTCATTTTTTAGAATTACTTAAGTCTTTATTCAATTATCTAAACTTTTCCACTTTGTACAATTAAGACCGAAATTAGAATGATTGACTTATTCGGGAATCTCCAAATCTACGCTTATTAACAACTCTCCGAAGCATTTTGTCGGGAGAATTTATAAACAAATACTTGCTCCACTATTATCTGCTACATTTAAACGGATTTGCGGTTAAATCATATAATTTTTTAATCTATTATTTCAGTGCAAATAAAGAAAAAAAAACAAATATCGGTTGTTCAAACAACAAAAATAAACTTACGATATCTTTTTCTAGAATAAAATATTTTCCTAAAGATTCTCTCACCTCGAAATAGACTGGAGAGTCTTGACCAATTTGAAAGATCGTTTGATGTAGTTTAAGTAACTGAAATTTGAGTTGTTAGATCAAGTAAGGAAAGTTCAATGGAATTTTTTAAATTGGAAATGTACAACGATAACTTGTTTTTTTTTAAGAAAATAAAATGACACTACATATCCCGCCCCAGCATTCACAAAATTTATGTCGGGTTTCCTAGTTTCTTTTTATGTACATAACATACATAAGTCCTTTTCATTATCCGCCGCCTAAGAATGAAAAGGACGATCTCGTAGTTCTTGGTCAGTGAAGATACATTGTTGGATGTTCTATTTTATTTTCCCATTGAATGAAAACGGCGATTTCGTAGGAGTGTTATTACTTACCGACCCAATTTATTCTATATTTTTCTTGGAGTTGGTTCTTGTTTGTATATCTTTTATTCTATATTTTATCAAAATCCAATTCATAGACACGGTGATGATAATTTAAACTATTTAACTAAAAGTTTGTGAATCTTATAAATACCTGTTTACAAATTGTTTATAACAATTACAAATAACAAGGAGACACACAATACACCCAAAGTTAGGTATGCATCCTTGAAGCTATGGAATCATACGGAGGACCATTGAAAAGGAGGCTTTCCTTGGGGAAGTTTTACTGGCCCGGCTTCCTCTCGATCGGTATTCAAACAAACGCAGCCGGCCAAATTTGTTTCTGCATTTTAAGCATCTTAAGTGTAAACATTCTAAGATAATATGAAATCAATAATTGGAATTTTTATAATACTTCATATTATTTGGATCAATTTGCCTTGAATTAAGAATGATTTTTTTGGATCAAGAGCTGTTATATTCGTATAAAACTTGTTAGTGCGCTTAGTGCCATCAAAATTTTATATTGTCCAGCCGGTGGCATGTAGCTCCTTCCCCCAGCAGTCTTCATTTCAATATACTTCGAAGCAAACATCTTTCACACTTAGTTTTTCGCATTTTTAAAGGTTAATCTTTAACTTTCTTTCCAAATGTTAATGTTAAGGAACATTCATTGTCTAGTCATCAACAGAATGCAAGATTAGCAAGATTTAATTAGTTTTTCGTTTGTAGTTTGCATCTTTATGTTGTGATTAATTCTTTTTTTATAACTTATTTTGTAAGATTCTATTTATTCCAATGGTCTTGTGCGTTGAAATACAAAAAGTAAATATTATTTATGATTATATTTTTCGTCAATATTTTATTAATTTATGCTGTTATAATTAAATTATGCTTTGTAATCTAAAATTAACTCACCCATAGTTTCAGCGGATGGGTAAAAATTAACATAATCCATTATTTGTACAATTAGGGTGGTTTGGAAAGTTGATTGCGGATGGTGGCGGTGGGTGCATTTAGCGGTTTTGATGGATATGCATACAAATTTAAATGATAAGATAATTGTCGGTTGCAAAATCTTACAAAAAGATAATTGTATATTATTACATAATGAAAAGCTACACAGTTTGACAAATCTATGACCATATTATGCTGATTTTATTTCTTAACTTAACACCAATAATCTTATTCGGGGAAAAAAAATATTTTATGGATCGTTATTATATGTTTTAAATAATCTACCCACAGTTTATGTTGCAACTTGCAAGTCAAGGAAAAATTATGAAAAATACTAAATTAATCAAGACACATAATTTGAGCCAGAAAAAAAAAACATGTGTTCTATTATAGAATGTACATTAGTGACATAATATATTGGATGGTCTTGTGGATCACTAACACAACCTTCACCACCCAAATAAGAAAGACTTACGTTCTCCCGGGATATCGGATGGATTTGAAAAATGGTTCATCTATTTCCATTCATACTTTATATTATGATGATTATGTAAAAGGAAGAAAATTTGGGCGCCTTTGGTTCCACCCAAATAGGACCGTCCTTAATCTTGTGTCCATCCCCACCAAACTCACTTTTTTTTTTTTTTTTCTTTTCCCCAAGAGAATAAAGAGAAAAATATGTATATCGGAGATGTTGAACCCAGGAAGGCTCATCCCATGAGACTGACAACCCAATTGGCGTCTTTCGGAGCGCTTCCTTCCTTACTTCCTTCTTTCTTTCCTTCCTTCCTTCCTTCCTTCCTTCCTTCCTTCCTACATTCATTTTAACTAATTAATTAATTAATAGTAATAATTAAAGGTCCAAAGTGTGTCTCGATTCCCTCCAGATCCGAGGTACTTTGGCTCATCAAAGGTCCGTCCGAGGTACGATCCTCAACTTTTGAGAAGTGCTAAAGTATACTAGGCGAAAGATTATACCTTAAGATTAGCGGTACGCAATATAATTACGCGTGCATGCATGTACGTATAATAAATATATATATATATAATTAATCAATCTTACGATCGATCCATCCATCCATGGAGATTCATTCCACCTGAAGACATCAGAGTGCTGAATTTTCTCTGTTGTAAGTAAGGGACAGGTGACTAATTAATTAGTCTTGAAACTTGGGAGCGGAAAGCAATCATCGAGAAAGAGGGGAACTAAAACAAATTAAAGCTGCATATGCTATATATCTTTCGTTACAAGTAACGAACTGAGGAAGGTGTCAACTGCAGTCCAGTCCAGTCCAGTGCTAGTTAATTTAGGGCCTACGCACGTAGACATTAACTGTTTTGTCTTTTAGTTTGGAAAGATCAACTCCAAACGGGTTTCTCATATCTATTGTATATATATAATGCTATCGATCGCATGCCGGCCATCGCATTTTGGTTGTGGCCTTACACGTCCGAATCTCTTCTGACAGCAGTTGAGGAGCCAGATAGATAAATAGCACCACTCCCAAAGGAAACGCGGTTGAGTCGCCAGAAGACCAGTTTCCAGACTTTGACTTGCGTTATCGATGGCTGACGAAGCTGCTGCTGCTTCACGACCTGCTACTAGCGTCGACGCCCCACCGATTGCTATTGGTAATATTGCTGAGAAAAAGTGCAACTTCCCAATGCTGGTGTTCTTCCGTGACGCAAGGTCCGTCTCTGTCCACCTAACCTAACCTAACCTACCTACCTATTCCTTAATCATCATCAACGCTTAATTACTTAATCATTTGACATGATGAGGGAATTAGCATTATTAATCTCTGTGCATTTCGCTATGAAATATTTGGGATGCGCGCAGATGTGTATTTAAGATGGACGCGCTGGGTTCGGAGATACTAAAAATCGCCATCCCGGCGGCAATGGCCTTAGCAGCCGATCCCGTGGCTTCTTTGATCGACACGGCTTTCATTGGTCACTTAGGTACGTAAATTTAATTGGATGGCGTTAATTCCGTTGGACCACGTACTTACGTTACGTTACGTGATTAAATAAATAAATAAATAGGACCCGTGGAGATAGCTGCAGTTGGGGTGGCGATTGCAATATTCAACCAAGCTTCTAAAGTGACAATCTTCCCATTGGTGAGCATCACAACTTCCTTCGTCGCTGAGGAGGAAACCGTGCAGCGGATCGAAAGTGAGAAACGTGAGGACACAGGGAAAGCGGTGGTGGTGGAAGCAGATGGCGAGTCGACGACAGACTTGGAGAAAGGCAAAGGCATAGCAGGCTCTTCTCCTCCTCCACAGAATGACGATGATGATGACGATGATGATGAGGGCAAAAAGAAGGAGGTCAGCGTGGGAATGGAATCCAGTGGCTGCGCATTAGATGGAGATGTCGGGGGGAACCATAATAATAAGGAAGTGATGACAAAGAAGAAGAGACATATCCCGTCAGCATCCACGGCAATAGTTGTTGGTGGAATGCTTGGTGTTCTTCAAGCTGTTGTCCTTATTTTCACTGCAACGCCGCTCTTGAACATCATGGGTGTCAAATCTGTGAGTGGCTCTCCCCCTTTTCATTTGCTTGCTTTTTATGCTTCTTTTCTTTCTTTCTTTTTTTCTCTTCTTTCCCGCTCATGATGGTAGATTATAAAGAGCATTCAAATTATATGATTACATTCGTGTAAGTCTATGACTTATGCTATCATATGAAATATAGGGTAAAGTTGCTCATATATATATATATATATATATATATATATATATATATATATATATATATATATATATATATACGCGCGCGATGGTTCAGACTAGTATTCGGCTGGCGGGCGTATGGCAATCGAATTTTGCTATTTACACAATGAATTAACCGGAGTTTGGACAAAATATTATATTTTAACTTCTAATGGATTCATTTAATCTCGAAATAATAACTGACGGTTATGATTAGTCGAAATATATCGAAGTATCAAAACAGGCGTGTATTATACACTACATTTTGTCATATTCAATATTTATTTCAGACAATCAAAATACAAATGGTATCTTCTTTTTCTTTTTTTTTGTTTCATGTGATTATTTGGTATATATAATAAATATTCTTATAGCACATTAAAATTTTATAACTTCAAAATTATATCATATAAGTACGATTTTTCAGTATCTTTCATATTCGATGCAAATCTCGAGATTGACGATTTTGAGTGGACAAATCATACTTGTTGCTGCCCATTGTACTTTTTTCCACCTTCTGAGTAGTGAGTACCCTTGAAATTAATTAATTAGTTATTATAAGATAATATTTTATACATGGCATTTGATCAATAGGGTTCGGCAATGCTAGTACCGGCACAAAAGTATTTAGTACTGAGGTCATTCGGTTCACCAGCAGTTCTTCTATCATTAGCAATGCAAGGAGTATTCCGTGGCTTAAAAGACACTAAAACTCCCTTATATGCCACAGGTGAGCAACTCCCTTCATCACCTATTTATTAATTCAAGATTATATATGGTCTACTCAATATGAACAACTAATTAATCATGATCTAATCTTGAATTCACAACATAAATATGTATATAGTTGCTGGAGATGTAGCAAATATCATCCTGGACCCAATATTCATCTTTGTGTGCAAGTGGGGAGTCAGTGGTGCAGCCATTGCTCATGTTATTTCGCAGTAAGCATTCCTCATTTCCTTAAACACGCCTGCTATATCTTTGGGTTTTTTAGTATACGTTAATAAATATAAAGTTAAAACCATTTTACTGTTCACTAAGCTTTTGGTTTTAAATTGGCTTGTTATTTGCGCTGTGTTATCGGAGTTATGGACTTTATTGTGCTTTATTGTGCTGGTGTAGAATTTTTTTGTATGGAGTGGTATGGGAAATTTTCAACCATATTATTTTTACTAATGTTTTTTTGTTATATATATAATTCAATTAAATTGGGCTTTGCAATTTGGACTATTTTTTTATATTTTTGTTACACAAACATGTTTAAAAATTAGCTTTTCATTATATTTTGTGTTGTGTGCACATTTTGTATATTTTGTTTCATAAACGTGTTTACATCCGAAATGTTAAAATTTGTTTTACATTAGTGTATTTTGTTGGTTGGAGTGAAATTCATACGTCGTCTTACCATCACTTAGTTTAAGAGAGAAAACGATTTTTTATCAAAATTCAGTTTTATATATTAGAGATGAATGATTAGAATGAGGTGAAGAAGTCGATCCCACTACGAAAAAGAAGAACATGTCCAAATACATTTATCTAAGTCCTCACATTAAGAAATTAGTTTCTTTCAAATTTCAACCCATCCGTTTGGCCCATACATTGGGCTCACCAGGTGAATTTTTTTTTAACTTACAAGGTGATTGTTTCCTTTTACAAATTCTTATTGGATTTTGATGCATAAAAAATTCTAAAGACCAAGGGATGAAAATTTCAAGATTTTTTTTCCCTGTTCTCTTTTTACTTCTCTCTCGAATTTTTCCTTCCAGTAAAAATAACATATTCAAATGCAAATAAACCACACAATAATTAAAATACGCTTAGGGGGGACTCGGATCATAACCCGAAACAAAACCTAGTTAAAATAATAATGTTGTGGTGATATTTTTGTTTTCTTCTTCTTCCAGGTACTTGATTTCACTGATCCTGCTGCTGAAACTCATGAAAATGATCCATCTCATGCCTCCAAGCGTAAAAGACTTGCAATTCAACCGCTTCCTAAAGAACGGTAAGGATCGAAAGCCGGCAATGAGAATGAACATTTTTTCCTTAAAAAATATCATTGTTAATTATAATAACTTTGATTACTATGAATCCCTTAGGTTTTGTACTGTTAGCTAAAGTGATAGCAGCAACAATATGCGTGACCTTCGCCGCGTCAAGGGCTGCCCGCCTCGGTTCAACCCCTATGGCTGCTTTCCAGATATGCCTACAAGTCTGGCTCACATCTTCACTTCTTGCCGATGGCTTGGCCATTGCCGGACAGGTGAATCCGATCCTTCCTTCTTTCTAATCACAAACTTGCAGCAGCTCAATTCGATCGATTCGCGCGTATTCTATGGATGAATCAATAGCCAACTCGCACGCTTTTCGATATGTACACAGGCCATCATTGCTACTGCATTTGCTGAGAAGGATTATCACAAGGCAACCAGTGCCGCGACCAGGGTCTTGCAGATGAGCTTCTTCCTCGGGATAGGGCTGGCGGGGGTTGTTGGGGCTGGTTTGTACTTTGGAGACACAATCTTCACTAAAGATCGTAACGTTCTCCGTGTCATAAGCATAGGAATCCCGGTAACTTATAACTAAAATCGAATTCGAAACATTTTTTTTTCCAGAACGCGGTATATGATTCAGTAGTTAACATTTTTGTTTTGGCAAACTTATCGTTTCTTCGGGGTCTATGCGCAGTTCGTTGCCGCGACACAACCAATCAACTCCATTGCCTTTGTGTTTGATGGTGTCAACTTTGGTGCATCGGATTTCAAGTTCTCTTCCTATTCCATGGTAAAGCTTAATTAATTATATTACTATTACTACTACTAGCCAACAATTACAATTACGATATTTCGTAAAATTATGATTTCATATATCGTTCGTACTAATTTAATTTCGCCTCGTTAATTAACAGGTTTTGGTAGCCGCAGCAACCCTTCCCACCGTATATTTTCTGTCGAAATCAGGAGGATTTGTTGGGATTTGGGTTGCTCTAACCATGTTTATGGGGTTAAGAACTGTTGCTGGGATTTGGAGGTAACCTTTCGCATGCAATGCGTACTTTCACATAATTATTAATTATCCCTGCAAAATCCAGTGATAACAAAAAAAAAAATGCATTATATATGAATCATCATCGATTCATCGTGGCTTATATATGTTTTTTATTCCCTCATTGTTATTCTCACAGGATGGGCACTGCAACCGGTCCTTGGCGATTTCTCAAAGGCTCACTTAAATTATAGGATTAATTTCCCACCCAAATTGCACGCATGCCCATATTTACTGTGATTTGGGCTCTTCTTATGTCTATTTTCTGGCTAGATGAAGAAGAAGGGGGGAAAAAAGACAAAGACCGGAACTTGTAGGTCCACTACTTCACAGTCTTTCTAGGTCCACTTCTTTGCATGTATTACATTGTAAAGACCCTCAGGCAAAATAAATATTAGGAGAACCACTGGATCGTACGTATGCTTTCTAAAATTTTGATGGAAATAAAATTTAGAGTTTTACTGTGTGAAATTTGATATTGGCGTGAACTAAAGGACAGGAATAATTAAGACCATATATTTGGTTCAACTTCACTGTGTGAAGTCTAATCTACAGTGAAATAGAGGTGCAGCTCTTTTCTTGTTGCTTTTGGTGTCTTACAATTAATTACAAGCTTTATCCAGGAATTGAAACGGATCACCTCAAGAGACAAAATCTTCTAAACAAGAAGCAATTGAGATGTGAAACGCTCACTAGGCAAAGCTGGATCCGGCTGTGGGAAGCAAAGATTCCTCCTAAGTTGAAAGTCTTTGTTTGGCAAATTCTTCATCGGGCTTTGCCGACCACTGAGGCTCTCATTGAAAAGAAGGTTCTGGTGTTGCCCGGTTTGCTGGGATGGTCCCGAAACGATGGAGCACATGTTTCTTTACTGCTCGGTCGTGAGAGCTCTCTAGGACTACTCAGGTTTGGACTATTTGGGGGAAGGTTTGCCTCGCCACACGTTTCCGTTGTTTCTCAAGCGGCTGCTCGCCCTTATCCATCACCCGAAACTGTTTATGGCTGTGGTTGCCATCCTTTGGCGGATTTGGCGGTCGCGGAATTGGGTTGTCTTTGAAGGCAAACAGTTTGGGATTCCGGCCTTAATGCGCCAATTTCACCAGCAGTATGAGGAATGTGTGGGCTTACCAGTTGACCGACCGCCGAGGATAGCCTGCCCTGACGTTCAACCAGAGACCCATGTGGTTGACTCTCGGTTGGTGTGTATGTGGGATGGGGCCACTAGGAGGGGGTCCCACTCGGCTGGTGGGATGGTGCTTTTCGATCCAGGGTGGACGCTCCTTCGGGCTAAAGGTGTGCAGTTTGCGCAAATTGATGAACCACTGGTGGTGGAGTTGCTTGTGCTTCGGGAGGCTATCATATGGTGTCTAGAGTACGGCTTGTCTGGAGTTAGGTTCGAGGGGGATGCGAAGGTCATTATTGACAGGATAAATCAAGCTGATACGAGCGACAGTCACTTGGGGGCAATCCTGGAAGAGATTTGCCAGTATTTTCGTGCCCATCCTGGGTATAGTGTGCGGTTTGTAGGTCGGGAGAACAATAGGGTAGCTCATTTGGCAGTTAGAAAGACCCTCTCTTTGTACCCGTCTGTAAATCGCTCCTTTGATTTCAGGGCCTGGCTGCTATCCAGGGTGTAACTATCTATTTGTTTCAATTAATATATGATATCTTTTGACAAAAAAAAATAAAAAAGTGAAACGCTCACAAATAAAAGTAGTAATCCATCTCCTTGTCTTTTATGCGCTCGCACCTGTGCTCCCTCGATGTCCGGTTTGCTGGGATAGTATGGAAACGATGGAGCATTTGTTTCTTGATTGCCCAGTGGCGCGGGCCTTATGGGGTTATTCGGGACTGGAACATGTAGGGGAGGGGTTGGTTCGGCAAACGTTCCCTATGTTTCTTAAGATGTTGATGAACTTGATCCACCAGCCACAGCTGTTCATGGCTGTGGTGGCTATCCTGTGGCGGATTTGGCGTTCCCGTAACTGGGTGTTCTTTGAAGGCAAACAGTTTGGGATCCCCGCCTTAATGCGTCAATTTCATCAGCAATATGAGGAGTGGGTGTGATTGCCGGTAAACAAGGTTATTGATAGATCGTTAATTACACATATTTTCACCCCTATTCTGAAGCCGTTTGTTATGAGGAATCTCGTGTTTTAAGCCGATTTTATGCTAGGTTGTGTGTTTATGTCATATTTCAGGTCCCGGCATTGGAATCGAGGCGGAGAAACGAGTTCTGGGTCGAAAGGAGCGAAGTTGGGACAAAGTGGGCTGCAGGAGGAAAATACCCGGTCAGGTGGCAAAATACCCGACCGAGTATTTATCATTTTCGGCACCCGTGAGAAACAGAGGGGGGCCCGGGCAAATGCCTTAAATCCCCGGTCGGGGATTATGAGGAGAGACCGGGGATTTTCCCCTTTAGTGAAACGGCGCGTTTGGACAATACCCGGTCGAACCCTTAAATACCCGACCGGGTATTTCGACCGGGTATCGCGATGGCAGCTCATAAAAGAGGAAGAAGGCCAATTTTCAGAGGGTTCCGAGTTTTTGAGAGAGAAAGCGATACCTAGAGAGAGAAAGCAACGAACCAGAGTTCCCAAGCGCCATAGATCGATCTTCAACACCATTGGAGCCCGGTTTGAGCTTGGAGAAGTGCGATTAAACGTCCAGGAGCAGAAATCCATCTTCACAGTATGATTTCCGCGTCTGAATCTGCTTTTGCTTCTTTCTCTATGGAGTAGTTTCCCCATTCATCTGGGTATGGGGAACCCTAGATTTGTATGCTAGGTCTGATTGTATGAACCCAAGTACAGAGTTTGTGAATTGATTATATTCGATTGAGGTTTGAATGATTGAATGATTTGAATCCTGATCAAATTCCTGTTGTTTCTGCTTTGACCTGGAATGAAAATATCTGCCTAGGTTGATAGAGTACCCTTAATCGAAGGTGGCGAATTGGTGACTTTAGTCGAGGAGCCAATTCGCTATTCGGTACCGAAGTTAATTCGGTAGTGGAGGTTTGGTTCATTAGGGCCTCAATCTGTTTACTCCGGTGGAGGTTAGTCGCCCGCTAGAGACTCAGATTGAGAGGGTCTGGAGACCTTTAGTCGAGACTTCAGGCTAATTGAGAACCTTCCGCAGTATAACTTTCATGAAAACTGAACTTGGTAAATTGCAATCCGACTTAACTGCAGTCTAGGGGGAACCATATCCGGGTGACCTCTCTTGACTTGACAACAACCGTTTATTTGCTTTGTGTTTTGTTTGCTTGAGTTGCACTAAAAGTTCACCGCTAAATAACAAGAATTCACCGAGTAGTCATCACATCTAGGACCCGGGTTGACAATAAAACCCAAACCCGCTATACTACGCTTTAGGAAGTGGTTGCACTTGGCCATTTTCTAGAGTGACAGTAGGAGTGAGTCAAGTTTTTGGCGCCGTTGCCGGGGACGGCTAGGTTGTTGAAGAAAAGTGATTTCTGTTACTTTAGCATTTTCATTTTTGCATTGAGTGTTTGTTCCTTCCCACTTGTGCCTTCACGGGTTTGCGTTGCTTGATTGTGTGCAGATAGTGCATGACCCGTAGCCAGTCGGGAAGTTTACTGCCGTTGAATCCTGAGATTGAGCGCACCTGCAAACAACTTCGGAGACAACAGCGAGCTAGACTGGCTACGGTGGAGCGCCGAGACGGCCAATTGAGCAGCGACACCGAGGACGAGTACGAGATGGAAGGTGATCAGAACCCGCCTCCTCAGAACCAGATCCTGGGGAACGACCCAAATCCCCAGGGAGCTGGGAACCATCATCATCCACCACCGCCGGGTCTCACCTTGGAGTACTACTATACTCCACGGATTGCTGACATCCGCCCGGTCATCCTCTATCCGCCCATTCCTGCAAATAACTTCGAGATCAAGCCTTGCTGGATTCAACTCATCACATCCTCTATCCAGTTCCATGGCTTGAAGGATGAGGAAGCCCGGGTGCATCTTTCCCGTTTTCTGCAGCTGACGAACGGGTTCAAGCTGAACGGTGTCCCGGATGACGCAATCCGCCTTCACCTCTTCCCCCATTCTCTGGCGGGGAATGCTAAGAGGTGGTTGGAGATCCAGCCCCCATTGTCCATCACTTCTTGGGACGATCTGGCTGACAAGTTTGTGCACCGGTATTATCCGGCATCGAAGACCACGGAGATACAGCGGGAGATCACTCACTTCCGCCAAGAGCCAGATGAGTCACTTCGTGATGCATGGGAGCGGTACATGGGATACTTCTGGCAGTGTCCCCATCATGGCTTCAGCGATGCTTTCACAGTAGGGAACTTCTACAGCGCCCTCACTCCAGACAGCCAGAGGGTGATTGAGTCTCTATGCCCAGGAGGGGATATCCTTACTAAGACCCCACCCGAGCTGAACCAGATGATCAGTACCTTGGCTGCCCGAGACCACTCCTGGGGGCAGAAAAACAGAGGCAGGAACTCCCGGGACCGGGGGGTGCATGCTATGGAGGCCAGGTCCGGGTTAGAGCAGCAGGTGGCTGAGTTGGTGCAGACATTGAAGCAGCCTAACAGTCTCCTTCCGGGTCGAGGTGTAGCTACGCCTCCAGTAACTCAGTGTCAGTGGTGTGAGAGCCCGAATCACCTGGTGGAGGATTGTCAGTCTATGAGGGAGTCTTCTACTCCTCAAGAGCAGGTGGACTTCATAGCAAATGCTCGGCGCCTGGATCCTTACAGCAGTACCTATAACGAGGGATGGCGCCAGCATCCCAACTTTGCCTGGGGCAGCAACACCAACAAGCCACCTGGGTTTCCAGCACCAGCAGGTGGTTTTCAGCAGAGGCAGCCCTTCCAGGCTAGGCAGGGGCCACCACCACAGCAGCAGCCCTTCCAGCCGAGGCAAGGGCAGCCATTCCAGCAGCCCCAACGCCAGTTTAATCAGCCTCCCGCAGCCGCAGCTCCAGATCCTCAGATATCTGATCTGAAGAATATTTTGCAGGCTTTCATGACCACCAGCCAGGCGAACTTCACGAGGATGGATCAGAACATCGCCTCACTGGAGGCAGGCCAGAGGAACCAAGGTGCCATTCTGCAAGATCTACAGAATCAGATTGGGAGCCTAGCTCGCCAGAACACTACCAGGGCACCGGGGACTCTGCCTGCCACCACCATCCCCAATCCACGGGACCCGCATGAGACCACACATGCCATTTTCACCCTGAGCGGCAGGCCTACATCAGCTGATCCTGCCCCGACCAGGCAGGAGGCACCACTACCTGCTTCAGCACTTCCAGCCGGTGATGCAGAAGCGCGGGTGGAGAAGGAAGCCCCTGCCCCCAAGCCACAACGAGTGGTGAAGGAGCACGTACCCCAGCTTCCCTTTCCCACTCGCCTTCACAAGGACAAGCTGGAGACTGAGTTTGCCAAGTTTATGGCAATGTTGAAGCAGCTCAACATCAGCGTACCATTTGTGGAGGCACTGTCGAAGATGCCCAAGTACGCGAAGTTCATGAAAGATCTCTGCACCAACAAGAAGAAACTTGGGGATCTCTCGACAGTGCTGCTGAGCGAGGAATGTTCT